GTGGGTGGGGGGGGGGGGGGAGAGGAATGGGCACTGGTGTTCAAGGAACTGTGTCAGGAGCATGTGACTGGTTCAGAGTAAAAAATAATAAATGTTTTAGGGAGAAATGATGGGGGTATGTGTTCAAGGTCGTGCTCGGTGACTGGATTTTATGATATATAGTATTTTAACCCCCGCTTTCCGTTATGAGACTGTTATTCAGAGAGAGGGAGGGATACATACATACATGAGCATGTAGATAAATTCTGTAGAAATTTATATCGAATGTATAAATTGGGTTGAAATGCCCTGTGATAAGATCCAAGGACTGTGTCGAACCTTTGGGTTTCATGACATGGAATTCCTTGATTGGCAGATAAACTTATCGGTCGCGAAGGAAAGCCGTGTTTCACGGAGCTTTGTGATTGGTTGGTCGGTTAATCATTTGCTGAGGCAGATTGTGTGAGAATCTGTTGGGTCTAAAAATCATTTCTAATTGTGTTTATTTTTCTTTCTTTCTTTTTTTTACTTTGTACATCTTCTAGGTGTTATTAAAGTCACTGCGTTGAAGAAGTTGCTTTTGCTTCCGTTTCCAGGTGAAAGGAGAATCATTTGAAATGTTTATCTGTTCTTGTCTTTAGCGTCCTGCAGGCTTCTTAAATGTGTAAGATTGCGTCTTTTTAGCCTGTCATTATTAAACACTTGAGAGTCCTTGATAGTTTTTGTTAGTACTTCATAGTTTAATGTTTCTCTTTCCAGGTGTATTGGACCCTGAGGTAGTTCTCAATTTGCCCAAGGACCAATGCGTATAATCGAAATGATGTTCAGTGATGGTCAATATTAATCATGTGGTGAGTACTCATCATTATTTTCATCTCAAAAGGATTCTATGTTCTAGTAATACAGGCACAAGCCAAAGTTACGACAGTTGTATGAAACTTTTTGAAGGGTGCTTGAGGAATTTCAAGAGTATATGATTATAAAGTGCTTACGAAGGTGGTTAATATTGTCTTTTATTAATTGGATTTTAAGTGGAATTTATTGAATAAATCACATGACAAGACACTGGGAGGCCGGAGCCTAGACAAACCTCAATGGCTGCGATGTGGCTGTAAACATATACACAAGGAAGTCGGTTATTTAGTAGGCCTCTCAATGTTTGCTTCTCTGGAGTTCGAAAATTTCCCAGACATTCCATTTGAATTCCATAATTCAGTGAAGGAAATTACTTTAACTGCTGTAAATGTTTACGCCTCATTCCAAAATTTGAAATTTTCTGATGCGTGATGCGTATTTTGAAATGACAGGAAACGACAGTATGCCCACTTGGTTCCAGCAAGTGAAGCCGAAATTTCAAAACTGATGGGACTTGTAATTCAAGACAACCCAACATACAGTAATTATCAAACTAGCGTCATTCTTAATGAACCCATCAGTAATTGCCGATATCAAGTGCTTCACGTATCATTGTAACAATAACAAATTATGATCATTAAAGCTAGTAATAATGACTTGTGTTTTACCAGTAGTTTGGCAAAAGTGGAGAAGCCTGTTTTTTCAATTAGTTTTCGAAATTTGTATGAATGATCTCCAGGAAACAGGAAGAATTTGCGAGCAGAGACGCTGTAGACAGGATTTTAATGCTGATGCAGGTATTAAAATTCCTAACAAGTGGGCCTATGATACTACGCGAAACGTTGAGGTCATATTTCGTTTCACTTCAGAAGCTGCATTAGCGTTTTGTAAAGAGTTTAACGAAACTAGTTCCGTGGTGTACGTCGTTAGTTTTATCCAGAAGGCACGTGAGAAGCGAAAACTCAAAGGCCCTGCTTGTTGTAATAGATTTTTAGTTGTTTTCTAACTGGACATGTATCCCACTCCAGCTGCTTTCATGCTTTGTTACAATCCATTCTTGTAGTCTATCTGACAGTCACCACAGATCTCATTAAATAATATCCTATTATCTAATGTTTCAATTCATGAAATTTACGAATTACGTGTTGGGTGTTCTTTTAGTATCAAACAATTATTTCATTTACAGCATATCAGTTCCTGTAACGCTATTAGGTTGTATCAAGGGTTGTTATGTATCACAACATAAACAGTCTGTTGATGGAGATACAGTTGTCGTGTGATAATATTAAAGTTCCGCGTATGTCAACTTTCCATCCTTTTCATTGTGTCATGGCTTACATGGCACCGATGGTCTGATTTCACTCTTATCTTGTCAACGTAAATAGGCCTGTGTCATTACTTCGTTACGCCAGTGGCATTTTCACTGATTCAGAATAATATAAATTATCTCTTTCCATCAAAAGGTTAGCAACTTAACGCATTGCCTGAAGAAGTTGATAACACGTGGTGTTTTCAAACGGTAATACATCGTTGTATACTCACCATCCTCAGTGTTGCTGAAGGTAGAAGGTAGAAATTCTAGAAAGGTTTCATTTAAATTTGTCTTCAGCATTTGTAGTTTTAAAGATTGTTATTTTATTATAAATTATGGAGTATCTCATATGTTTATGATCAAAAGGTATTGGGCCATAAGAAGACTTCAAAGCTCCATTAGCAATGTCAGTATAAAAGAATGTATGCTTGCAATTAATAAGAACAAGTTTTTAAAATCCAATCGAGGGATTCTCTTATACTTGCTACGTCTTATGTAATAAAGGCACAATTTTTAAAACGCGGCAATATACTACTTTATGATTTACAATAAAATTGATGAGGGCATTTAGAGTTTTATAATTTTAATTTGGTACGTGTCTATGTTGAAATGTGTTAAACATTCTCTCGCCATCTAAAATGCAAATCTCTTAGTGGATTCCGTAATCTCAGAGAGCTTCTTTGTATTTCTTCTTTTCTAACAACCTGTAATCGTTTCTTCGTTTCCAGGCAAGTCTTCTTTTTCAGAACAGGTTCATTATCAATGCATTACTTGATTTCCTTTTTAATGCTTAAATGTAGTTTCGACAATTTTATAAATTGAAGCTAAAAGAATTCGATGGTTTTAAAACTAAGGAGCGAGACAGAGATAGCTCTCGACTCTTATATCTGCTATAGAGGGGAAAAAAGAACAAAAATAAACAAAAATAAATTGAAAACAATAGACATCCATTAATGCGCCATTGTCCGCATGAAAACAATGAACATGGGGCAAGTCTATTCGAGTGGTGGAATAGAGGATAAAATGTGCATATGTACGCAACACACATCTCGGTTTGATATTTATTGCTTTTCTTATAAAAATATTGCCTAGGTTGACTTGTATGTTTATGTATACCAAAAACATGTTAACATTTTATTATATTTTGTATACGTCGAGAGAGAATATTTTCTGCCAGTGTTATGATTTATACGTGCATATTACTGACTTATCTTAGAATGAATGTGATGATAGCACATGGGTTTGTGGAGATCTACTTAACCTGCGTGAATAAGCAGGCAATGACAAGACACTTAAGAAATCGGACCATGAAGTTGGAAACCAAAATTAATTTACCTCGGCGAACATATGAGTCATAGATACTCTTTGCAGCACAACGCCACCGATATGTACGAAATTACCTCCATGCAGCACAGGCGTTCTTAAGAAGGTAACAGTCGCTCCACTAGTCAAGAAATTCTACGACTTTTATGGAACTTGAAGACTCATTACCGTATCCATAAAATACCACCACATATGGAGCCAGATTAATTAAGTTTACATCATTACGTAGTATTTGTCAAAGATATATTTTAATATTATCCCGCCTACGACCAAGTCTACCAGGTCTTTTAAATATTTATGATTAAAATCTAAGCATTTACTACATGCTCAGCCTGTTTCACACTTCTTGATTGTATCGTCCTAGCCCTGATAATATTCGGCGGAGACTATACTCTGTGAAGTTCCTTTATGTGCAATTTGCTTTGGCGTTCAATGACTGCTTATCGTGCAAAGAGTGTTAAGTGCTGCTTTGCTATTTGTGTATTTCGTCTGGTTCTCAGAACAATTATTAACCTAAGCCTAATTAAATGAGTGATACTTGTACCGAAGGTAGGGTGTTTCTTGCAGATTTTTTAAATGTTTCATAGACGAGCTTCGCCCGTAAAATTATTTCTTCTCTTGTTCATAGTGAAAGTCTAAATAATTAGTTGAGTTCTTGAGGTTTAATACTTTCCTAGCGTTAAGTCAGACGCCTAACACAGTAGGTCATTGGTTTGTGTTCGGTTACATTTCCTGACTCCTAACTTTGTCGTTTTTGTAATGTATACTTTGGCGCCCTCAAGCCATGATGAACCTTTCTACTTGTCCGGTCTAAATAATCTTCTCAGATGTCGTTATCGTTGAATAACGTACGTATTATTCAATGCGAAACTTGTGTACAAGGGCATCACTTTTTGTGAATATATTATTTTTATTGGTTTTTTATATTTTCCCTGTATTTTGTCGGAACGCCCAGTTTTGGCACAAGAAAATAATTTCAATAACTTTTAGGTACTGTTCTGCTAATTGTACTAATTCTAGACCGTGTTGATCCAGGATCGTGACGCCTTGGGTCTACCCGCCATTATAACAGCCCTGATGTAATGCAGATACAGAGATAAGCGACGGTGTTTTATTTGCCAATAAATCTTTAAGAGAAAGCTGTTACATTACGTTACTGATGTGATTTTTTTCTTTATTTTCAAATTTAATGACAGAATTTTCGAGTGTGGACCTGCTTACCTAACAAACCACTCATAAAGTGTTTACAGAATTGATCTTCGTTGTGTATGAAAACCAGGAAGCAGTGACGTGTGTGTTTTGTTTCTCGCTCCTTAAACACACGTCATGGCTTTCTCGTATAACGCAAATTTAAGTCGAGTTGGAATTATAGCTTATAAAACTTACTGTATATGGCGTTATCCCGTTAGATTTCTGCAGTCCTCGTGCTTGCTTGTTAGTGCCTGCTTTTAATTCATATTTAACCCCTTTTTCTGCCTTTGATTCTTCTTTATTTTATTCGTTCTCTCTTATCCTTGTGTTCTTTTCTTTCGTTCGTTCATTGTTTTGTTCGTGAGTTTTAAAATTCATGTTCCTGTGTTCCTTGTAATAAGGAAGAATTACACGTTTCTTTTCGTGCTTTTGGCCAGTACTCTGTGAATAACTAAAGTACATTATGTGCATTCCGAAGCAAAACAAGAAGATATAATGGCAGCTGCAGAGAAGTTAAAATCTCCCTCCCACCCGCAACAGCGTATACATAGGCATTCAAGTTTGATGCATGGACATTCTATCTTGCATTCGGAATTAAGCGCGCATGCTGTATTCTTGTTGTCTGGTTGTTGGACACGATGTTACCAAAAACAAGAATTTATGGTCTTATTGTGTTGGGTACAGATAGAGGAAAGCGTACTGTAATTTTTCGTACAAAACGCTTTAATTAACTTGTAATATCCGGCCACTCATTTAGACGAGGATTCAGATCACACCAGGATGTACATATTTTTATGGGTTTCCAGCACTGTTAACAGTGTTTTTTGTACGCGTCACCACAACGTCCTCGGCTTGCGGGCTTTGTCGACGGCTAGCAGCTGAACTTATTTTACACCAAGTCAGTTGTCGGGTCGTGATTGTTATGGCTCATCGATTCCGTGGACGAGTATTATTGAATGTTCGGATTCCATATGCAGATCAAACATTATTTTGGACTATGGTTTGTTTTCTGCAGTTCTTGTGGCTGGCGTGGTACTTCTGTAATGTCGTTGAACTGGCTTCCAAAAACGTTTTTTATAATACCTGTGTTTTCGCAACTGCAATTGGACTTCTTAAATTGATTAGCAGTTTCGCGGTTTAATTTTCTTGTATATTTTTGGCTTGAACGTA